CAAAATATCTGAAAAAGGAAACTTTGTTGTTAGATTTGCTTTTAAAAGAAAAGAACAAATAGAAGTTCTTCCCCTAGAGGGAGCCTGTGAAACTGTTACTAAATTTGAATCGGGGAGCTCTGCAGCTGCATCATATTACGATCGTGGGAATAGACTTCTGACCTTGCAGAACAATGTATTCAGAAGCTCTGGTGCGTGCTTTCTGCAAAACAAGTGCCCTACTGGAACAGCTACATGAGAAGACGGACTTGATGACTGCTGCGATCGGAAATTTCGGACAGGTAGTGCGTAACTATATAGAGCCCACCCAGGAATCATATCAGGAGTGTGCTCTGACAGATCAGATGAGGGAAGAGGATGTTGCTGAACCTCGGGCGCCAGAGATGGAGGGAGTTGTGGCCCGGCAGGAACATGAGTTCTTGCATCTGACAAATGAACTTGGAAAAAGCCAGATTTGGAAAGATAAAGTTTGGTTTGATTTGGAAATGGGGGGTTGGATAGACCCCCCCATGCAGGGATGTTTGGACTTTTCAAGTCTGGCAATGGGCCGTGAGATGTTTGGGGTTGTGGGGGCTCTTAATTCTGGAGGGACTTTGAAACATGTTTTTAAATACCACATGGAGTTTAGTGTGGAATATGGAAAAGGGACTGATTTGTTGAGAAGGGTCAAAAACACTGTTAAGTTGGAGTTCCCACGAGTGAAAGGAGCAGGAGACAAAGTAAAGTACAGGTATAAATATGAAGAAGAGCCGCGGAAGGGACATGGAAGAGACTTAAGGGCCTCGGACATAAGATTACCAGGTTAATGCGCTAGATTGATGGGATAGAAAGGACTGACAAAACCTGGGACCAGGAGGAAGAGACACTGGATGAAGATTGGAAGAAAAAAAAAAATTATATTAGGATTGCCTTATAAAATTGATGAATGTTAGAAAAATGTTGGAACGAAATCATTTGGCTTTAGCAAAAATGTTAAAAGAATTATGTAAGAATATGTTATGGTTATGAGAAATTGGTATAAATAAGATCTAAGTTTTAAGTTTTAGGGTCTTTTATAGTAAGATAAGGTTAAAATAGATTAAGGTAATGTAATGACAGAATATTATGAAAAATGGAAAGGATTTGCTATGACAATTAACAACTAGGATACAAAAAAAGGGAGGAGTGAGGAGGTCAAAGAAAGAAGGTAATGACAGTTAAGGATTTGAGAATATTAGATTTGTTTTTAAATTTTTGTGGCGTAATTTTGCCTTTTGAGTGTGTTGTGTTATGTGCTTTGTTCTTATTTTTTGATTTTAATTTTTATCAATCTGTATTGTTTGATTGTGGTTTGTTTTTCTTTTGTCTTTTCTCTTTCTATTTGTTTTTTGTTTTTTCTGTAATTCTAAAATTCTTAATAAATATCATTTAAAAAAAAAAAGAAAGACAACATTCATTTGGTCTAAACTTTTATTTCATCCTCTCGGCAAAATGTGTTTGGTCAAACTTCATAATGTTCACAAAGGGCCTTTCATCACAGTTTTGTCAACAAAATGGGATTTTATTCTGATCATTCTGTCAACAGGAAGAAACACCATAAAATCACTTTACACACTGGCCTTGCAGACAACTTCATTGTCCAGAAAGTGGGAGAAGCAACAAGAGGAACAGCCATTTTAGATCTGGTCCTAACCAATGTTGATGACCTGGTTAGTGGGGTAGAAGTGGAAGGATCATTAGGCGCGAGTGATCATGCTCTTCTGAAGTTTACTATACAGCGGAAAGGAGCAGCCAAGCATACTAGGACTCAATTTCTTGACTTTAAGAAAGCCGACTTCATAAAACTTAGGGAAGTGCTGGGTGAGATCCCATGGACAGTAATACTAAAAGGAAAGGGAGTTCATGATGGCTGGGAGTTTGTTAAGAGGAAGATAGTAAAAGCACAACTTCAGGCAATACCAATGAGACGGAAACATGGAAGGTGCCTAAAGAAGCCAGGGTGGCTATCTAAAGAACTTTTAACTGAGTTAAGATTAAAAAAGGATGTGTACAAAAAATGGAAAAGGGGGGAAAGCACCAAAGAGGAATTCAAAGAAATAGCCAGCACGTGTAGATACAAAGTCAGAAAAGGTAAAGCACAGAATGAACTCAGGCTTGCTAGAGAGGTTAAAAGCAACAAAAAAGGCTTTTATGGGTATGTTCGTAGCAAAAGGAAGAACAAAGAAACAGTGGGGTCACTCAGAGGAGAAGATGGTGAAATGCAAACAGGGGACACAGAAAGGGCTGAACTCCTCAATGCCTTCTTTGCCTCAGTCTTCTCCGATAAAGAAAACAATGCCCGACCTGAAGAATTTGGAGCAAATGATTCAGCAAAGGAAACACAGCCCAGAATAACTAAGGAGATAGTACAAGAATACTTGGCTAGTTTAGATGTATTCAAGTCTCCAGGGCCAGATGAACTGCATCCAAGAGTATTAAAAGAACTGGCAGATGTGATCTCAGAACCACTGGCAGTCATCTTTGAGAATTCCTGGAGAACAGGCAAAGTCCCGGCAGACTGGAGGAGGGCAAATGTTGTCCCTATTTTCAAAAAGGAGAAAAGAGAGGACCCAAATAATTACCGCCCAGTCAGTCTGACATCAATACCAGGGAAGATTCTGGAGCAGATCATTAAGCAAACAGTCTGTGAGCACCTAGAAAGGAATGCTGTGATCACCAATAGTCAGCATGGATTTCTGAAAAATAAGTCATGTCAGACTAACCTGATCTCATTTTTTGACAGAATTACAAGCCTGGTAGATGAAGGGAACGCAGTGGATGTAGCCTACCTTGATTTCAGCAAGGCATTTGACAAGGTGCCCCATGATATTCTTGTAAAGAAGCTGGTAAAATGCGGTCTTGACTATGCTACCACTCAGTGGATTTGTAACTGGCTGACTGACCGAACCCAAAGGGTGCTCATCAATGGCTCCTCTTCATCCTGGAGAAGAGTGACTAGTGGGGTGCCACAGGGTTCTGTCTTGGGCCCGGTCTTATTCAACATCTTTATCAGCAACTTGGATGATGGACTCAAGGGCATCCTGATCAAATTTGCAGATGACACCAAACTGGGAGGAGTGGCTAACACCCCAGAGGACAGGATCACACTTCAAAACGACCTTGACAGATTAGAGAACTGGGCAAAAGCAAACAAGATGGATTTTAACAGGGAGAAATGTAAAGTATTGCACTTGGGCAAAAAAAATGAGAGGCACAAATACAAGATGGGTGACACCTGGCTTGAGAGCAGTACATGTGAAAAGGATCTAGGAGTCTTGGTTGACCACAAACTTGACATGAGCCAACAGTGTGACGCGGCAGCTAAAAAGCCAATGCAATTCTGGGCTGCATCAATAGGAGTATAGCATCTAGATCAAGGGAAGTAATAGTGCCACTGTATTCTGCTCTGGTCAGACCTCACCTGGAGTACTGTGTCCAGTTCTGGGCACCACAGTTCAAGAAGGACACTGACAAACTGGAACGTGTCCAGAGGAGGGCAACCAAAATGGTCAAAGGCCTGGAAACGATGCCTTATGAGGAACGGCTAAGGGAGCTGGGCATGTTTAGCCTGGAGAAGAGGAGGTTAAGGGGTGATATGATAGCCATGTTCAAATATATAAAGGATGTCACATAGAGGAGGGAGAAAGGTTGTTTTCTGCTGCTCCAGAGAAGCGGACACGGAGCAATGGATCCAAACTACAAGAAAGAAGATTCCACCTAAACATTAGGAAGAACTTCCTGACAGTAAGAGCTGTTTGACAGTGGAATTTGCTGCCAAGGAGTGTGGTGGAGTCTCCTTCTTTGGAGGTCTTTAAGCAGAGGCTTGACAACCATATGTCAGGAGTGCTCTGATGGTGTTTCCTGCTTGGCAGGGGGTTGGACTCGATGGCCCTTGTGGTCTCTTCCAACTCTATGATTCTATGACAGAACAGGCGTGTGCATGTGTGTGTGTGTGTGTGTGAGAGAGAGAGAGAGAGAGAGAGAGAGAGAGAGAGAGAAAGAAAGAAAGAAAGAGAGGTGATTATTCTTAGAATATCTTCTTCTATGACAATCATAAATTATATGGTTTCCACTTATTTTGTAGTGAAAATCGAAGTATCAAAACCTCTGCAGCAGCAATGAACATGGATAGCATTGGTTTTTGCATTGAATATATTAATATTACCCAGACATTTTTGCAGGCAAATGTTATGTATGGAATCCAACCAGGTTTTCAATGCTCAAGGTTTTATGAAAGGATTTTGGCTGCCTATTCACATGGTAGTCTGTTCCGTTCTCCTGATGTTTTCCTGACTGTTATTTTGCACAATAAACACACAAGACGTAACCGATACAATGAATAGTATACCTTATTTATTCAAAAGTACAGCCGGTTACTTCTTGTGTGTTTATTGAGTATGTTTCACGTAACCAGAGGTTTGTTGTTGTTTTGCTAATGTTATTTTGCACATTCTATATGAGTTTTCACATGACATAAAAGCCACTTCCGTAAAACTAAGGGAATGCAATGGAATATTCCAGACATTTTCTGTTTGCAGGTCCCTTAGCTAGGGAAGTTGTGGAACTTTTGTGCTTCAATTCCATACACCTTTCTCTCCATCTCACTGTTGCTGTCAAACTTGAAATGTTCACAGAAAAGGTAGTCAGCCCCAAAGTGAACAAGCAGCTTGACCAGCCACCCTTTGCCTCACTCCCCACCCCCACCCCACTTGTGATACTGAGCAAGTTGCATTCCTATAGGAAAGCTGCTTTCAGGGCTTCGTCCTACCCCCCAATGATCCTCAGGGTGCAGAACCTCACTCTTGCAGTGCCTATTGGTATGAATGAAATTTAGGGTGACATGGCTGTGTCTCAATACCGCAGTGTGAGAGAAACACTAGAAAATGGGACAAAAGCATGAGCATTATAATCAGTAAAACATAGAACTTCATAGAATCATAGAGCTGGAAGGGACCATCAGGGTCATCCAATCCCAAATCTTTTGTCCAATATGGGGCTCGAACCCCCAACTCTAAGATTAAGAGTCTCATGCTCTACCAACTGAGCTAGCTTTGGATTATCAGAATAAACCTCATGTGTGAATGTAGCCTTTGCATATAACCCAAATGTCCAGCAGCTCATAGTCACTTTTCCATCTCCATTAAAGTCCATCTAGTGTTCCTATCTAATATGACTAGGAAATTGAATGCAGATTTCCAAAAAATAGCAAGGAGAGACAAGAAGGCCTTCTTAAACGAGCAATGCAAAGAAATAGAGGAAAACAATAGAATGGGAAAAACCAGAGATCTGTTCAAGAAAATTGGAGATATGAAAGGAACATTTCGTACAAAGATTACCATAATAAAAGACAAAAGTGGAAAGGACCTAACAGAAGCAGAAGACATCAAGAAGAGGTGGTAAGAATACACAGAGGAACTATACCAGAAAGAAATGGATGTCTCGTATACCCCAGGTAGTGTGGTTGCTGACCTTGAGCCAGACATCCTGGAGAGTGAAGTCAAATGGGCCTTAGAAAGCACTGCTAATAACAAGGCCAGTGGAAGTGATGATATTCCAGCTGAACTATTTAAAATTTTAAAAGATGATGCTGTTAAGGTGCTACACTCAATATGCCAGCAAATTTGGAAAACTCAGCAGTGGCCAGAGGATTGGAGAAGATCAGTCTACATCCCAATCCCAAAGAAGGGCAGTGCCAAAGAATGCTCCAACTACCGCACAATTGCACTCATTTCACACGCTAGCAAGGTTATGCTTAAAATTCTACAAGGACGGCTCAGGCAGTATGTGGACTGAGAACTCCCAGAAGTGCAAGCTGGATTTCGAAGGGGCAGAGGAATAAGAGACCAAATTGCAAGCATGTGCTGGATTATGGAGAAAGCTAGAGAGTTCCAGAAAGACATCTACTTCTGCTTCATTGACTATGCAAAAGCCTTTGACTGTGTCGACCACAGCAAACTATGGCAAGTTCTTAAATAAATGGGAGTGCCTGATCACCTCATCTGTCTTCTGAGAAATCTCTATGTGGGACAAGAAGCTACAGTTAGAACTGGATATGGAACAACTGATTGGTTCAAAATTGGGAAAGGAGTACGACAAGGCTGTATATTGTCTTCCTGCTTATTTAACTTATATGCAGAATTCATCATGCAAAAGGCTGGGCTGGATGAATCCCTAGCCAGAATTAAGATTGCCGGAAGAAATATCAACAACCTCAGATATGCAGATGACACAACCTTGATGGCAGAAAGTGAGGAGGAATTAAAGAACCTTTTTATGGGGGTGAAAGAGGAGAGTGCAAAATATGGTCTGAAGCTCAACATCAAAAAAACAAAGATCATGGCCACTGGGCCCATCACCTCCTGGCAAATAGAAGGGGAAGAAATGGAGGCAGTGAGAGATTTTACTTTCTTGGGCTCCATGATCACTGCAGATGGTGACAGCAGTCATGAAATTAAAAGACGTCTGCTTCTTGGGAGAAAGGCGATGGCAAACCTAGACAGCATCTTAAAAAGCAGAGACATCACCTTGCCAACAAAGGTCCATATAGTTAAAGCCATGGTTTTCCCAGTAGTGATGTATGGAAGTGAGAGCTGGACCATAAAGAAGGCTGATCGCCGAAGAATTGATGCTTTTGAATTATGGTGCTGGAGGAGACTCTTGAGAGTCCCATGGACTGCAAGAAGATCAAACGCATCCATTCTGAAGGAAATCAGCCCTGAGTGCTCACTGGAAGGACAGATCGTGAAGCTAAGGCTCCAATACTTTGGCCACCTCATGAGAAGAGAAGACTCCCTGGAAAAGACCCTGATGTTGGGAAAGATGGAGGGCACAAGGAGAAGGGGACGACAGAGGACGAGATGGTTGGACAGTGTTCTCGAAGCCACCAACATGAGTCTGACCAAACTGCGGGAGGCAGTGGAAGACAGGAGTGCCTGGTGTGCTCTGGTCCATGGGGTCACGAAGAGTCGGACACGACTAAACGACTAAACAACAACTACTGTTCCTATCTAATATGGCTAGTGTCACAACATACAGTTGTTGGTGTTCTTTATGAATGTGAAGTGGATAATCATTTCTATCTGGCTAGAGCAATGCTGTTTACCATTTGTGGGGTTTGGGGAACAATTCACATGGGTGTTCTCCTACTTAGCATCTATTGAAATGAATGAGAGCCTTGTAGTGCTCGTTTGCAGCTCCCATTCACTTCAGAGCACATTGATTTTCTAACTTTGCTGAGAAGGATGCACACAAGAATAAATTGTAAGGACACCGACAAAAAAACTGTACCATTTTTAGTTCCAGTAGCTGTAAAGTATGTACATCCAAATAGTTCAAGTCTAGGACTTCTGAAACTCTGCTCATCTGTTCCCAAAGTGTTTCACACCTGTGTGGAATTCTCCAATGTTCTATTCCCCCCCCCCCTTGCAATTTTTGCAAGGGGCACAGAGCATACACAATTTGCCACAATTTCTTTCAGAAGCTACAGGCGGGTGGGTGTCAGGGAGAATTCGGAGGAGTAAGTGACAGCAGAGGCAGAGCAGGGGCTTGGTGATGCTGTGGAGCCCTTCATCCGCCCAGAGACAGAGGAAGTGGAAGAGAGGGCGGAGATTAGCCAGGAGGAGGAAGGGCTCAGGGATGCCGCAGAACCCTTCAACCCCGCAGAGGCTCAGGGAAGGGAGCTCAGACTCTGGAAGGGAGCGGGCTTTCAAATCGGCACAGACAAGGAGGGAAAGGAAACGAGTGATTCCCACGCCTACTTTGTTGGGAATTGAAGGAAGCCACTCCCCGAATCTGACTCAACGGGTTCGGAGGCGTAATCCTGAACTGTAACTGTTTCTTGTACATATGTAATAAAGACTGTAAATACAAAGCTGGCTGTGCTGGGGTGTTAATGTGAAGGGGAGACACCACCTTTAGAGTGGGTGTGAAAGAGGGCCCCAAACTTTTCAGCCTTTCAAATGTTCCTGTCAAACTTTTTGGGGGAAAGGTCATTGGGTTTTTTTGCTTTAGCATTTGAGGGGAATTCTGGGAAACCCCAGATGGTTCCCCCCCCCATGAACCGGGGACCTGGGTGGATGAACTTCCATGCAAACAAAGAGCCCTGCAGAAATATCAGGACTGCAGGGGAAATGGTGCTTCCAGATGTGTCTTGCCCAAATGATTTGGTCAGTGTAACACTCTGAAATCCTTGTTGACTTATATCCCAGTCAGGGAGGGGCCTATCCTTAGGCAGCTGCCTCTGATGGGAAATGTTGGGGTGGTGGGAATGGAGACACCCTCCCCAGCTGCCTGGGTTTTTTTTAGCCTGGTACCCTTCTGTGGGAAAACAGACTGTGTGTTTGCTGCGCAGTCTTTCCTGCATCCCCCTACGTAGCGTCCTGCCCTCAGGTGCAGTGGAGGACATGATCCGCTGCCTGCATTGAAGTCAGTTTCAATGGCCAGGCCAGTCAGCTTCTGTAGGCAGAAGTGGTGTGCAAGCATGCCATTGTGTCCTTCTCCTCAGGCAGCAAAATGTTTGGGACACAGCGCTTGAGGTGGAAGGGAGGGGAATAGGTTATGGTCAGTTTTGCCCACTGAAAAGAAGTGGGGTGGCTTTTGGTCCCCCTGAAAATACTGGAGATGACAGCCCAACTCATGCTAACACTGCCACCCCATCAGCTTCAGATACCAACAAAAGCCCGTCTTCAGAACTGTTCTTTCCCACCACAGGGATCCTTCCTCCTGCAAGCCATTTAGCAGGCGTGTATGGTAGCAATCCTGCAAACGGTTTGCTTAATCACACTGAAGCAAGCGGGAGTTGAGTGGCCTCTGTCATACAGGCCCAACTGCCTCAGCAATGCACCATCTTACATCTGACTATAAAAGCAGACACAATCAAACTTCTCTTGGTTGCACTTTGAGAACGCTCTATTCACAAGAAGGGAAATTTTCCTCACCGAATCCGATAATCATCACAGCGTGGGTTGCCACTATTAGCTTTGCCCCTAACATTTTATCCTTCTCTTTGCTTTTTCATCTCCGTTAAGCTTCAGAATGGATTGCACGCCATCTTTCTTACATTATATGCAACACTGTTATATTCTGCAGCTCTCATGCAAACATAAAGGCACACCTAATCTTTAATTAAGGTATAGGCTTAATAGGTTTTCAGAGTCTTCACAGAGTTTACATGGAGTGAAAGATGAGGCATGAGCAACTAAATTCTGTAGCCTGCTTACAACAGTAAATGCAGCTCATTGAGACACACTAGGGAGCCGTATTTCACACGCATCTTCAAATGGCATGGGGAAGGCTATTTGCGGCTTCGATGTAAAATTGAATTTTTGTGGAAGAAAGTAGAAATCAACTTTTAACACTCAGTAGCTGGACTAAGTGTCAGCTATTCATCTTTCTAAAGCAACTGGAGGGGGGCGGGGAGTCATAGTAACAAACCGTAAATTATACTGCCAATTGTAATAAGATCCACGCACACAGCTCTCCAGAAGATGTTTCTACAGCCAAGCAGGCAAAAAGCACAATATATTTAGGATAACTGAAGATGAGGGAGGATATGGATTCTGTGTTTTTGGTCACAGAACCTTGTGTTAAGCATAAATCAGCTGAATTGCATTCCTCCATTAATAGGTAATTAGAAATTATGGGGGGGGGGAGAGAAAAGGTCCCACAGCTTATGTTTACGGGGAAAAACAGTTGACTACTTTGAAACCTGGCAGTCTGAGAAGTTTGAGGATGGTACATATCAAATTTGGGGTAGAAAGGATGAGAAATGGCTTGTACTGAATGAGTTAAAGGTTTGATGAGGGCTTTGTGAAGCTGACAGGTGAGGTGTCCCCCCCCCCCCTTCATAGACTTTGCCTGGGTTGTGTGTCTGCACTGCGTCTTTGGAGAAACAGGTCCTCGCTCCCTGAATTTCAAGTGTGATATACAGCAAAGCTGTTTCTCATTTATTTTTTTGCATCCTAACATTATAAATTTGCCACCTGTCATGAATGTGTTAGCCAAGACTCCTGCACTGCAGGACCAGATGGCCCTTGGGGTCCCTTCTACAATTCCATGA